ATTTTTTATTTGGTAAGTTTTTCCTTCCTTTTAATTTTTAAGGATTTCGTACCTGTTTTTTTTTTGACAATTATCCCATATAAGCTTACCATTACTTACCCTTTGGACATTCAAAAAAATTATTTTATCCGATTGTTTGTCCTTTTAAAAAACATGCAAATTTTTTTTTTTTTTTTCGACTGTTAATTATCACCGGAGGAAACGATTTCGCATAGAGAAAGAGATAGAAAATTTATTAATGATATTAAATGTCGTTTGATAAGATTTTTACTTGTGATAATAATGATTTTATTTATTAACCTCGAGGTTATTTAATTTCATTAACATGTTGTAGATGACCATAAACGCGATGTTTAAATAATTTCGCAAAAAAAAATTTATGCAAACAGACAGACAAGTAACTGTTATTAAGTTGCTTAATGAGATTTTAACGTTTTTTTTTTTTTTTTTTTTTCAGGCTCGTCAAGCCGAATTGGAAGGTTTAGGTGAAAGAGCCGTTCTTTTACAAGCATATTTAGGTTTGGCATGGGCTTTAGGTTGCGTCGCTTTCGGTTTGCTAGTGGTACACAATTCCGTTGAATGTAGGATAGCAAGACAATATCTTTGTCAGGTGAGTAGTCACGCGTACCTTAAACCTACGACTTCTATTATCAATTTTTTAAAAATTTCAGGCAGCTGTTTTTATGTGCGGTTTATCGATACTAGCATTGACAGCCGTACACGGTAATTATCACGGTTACGTATTGTTTGTGTGGATTTACGGTATTTTTTGCGGCGGGTATCATTATTCACTCAAAATGTACACTTACGAAAAAGTTCGTGCGAGAAATTTTGCAAGGACTTGGGGATTCGTACAATGTTCTCAAGCCATACCGATAGCACTCGGAGTACCGATATCAGGTAAACGATATTTATAATTTTTGAATTTTTCGATTAAATAATATTTTTTATTAATATTTTGAAGGTTACATGAACGAAGGTTGTGGTGGTAAAGCCGGATATTACTTCAGTTCGACATGCACTTTGGCCGGAAGTTTAGCAATGTTTTTAATTGATATACACAGACGTAGAAGAGCGAGGCATAAACATACTAAAGCCAACGGTCAAAAACATTTATGCGAATCTGATTCTTGTCCTCGACGTAGGCCTTCCTTTGGAGCTGAACCCGAACCCGAACCTCCACTAACAGAGTTACCAATGGTGGATCTTTTGCCAGGGATCCCTGGTGAAAAGCCAGAATTAACGTGTATTTCGGAAGAGGGAATTGCGGATATGGATTTACCCGATGACATATTAGACGAATTGGATTACATTGGAATTACATCGTGCAATAAAGTATTTCTTACTCCTACCCATTATTATCATCATCATCATCATCATTTTTTTTTCTTTTTAATGTTAATTTTATGTGCTTTTTACCAGGTCGAAAATTTTTTAATGCTCAGCGAATTTGAAAATAATTTAATTGCCGAAACTCCTGTTTTAATGGATAAACGTGGTCGTAAATGGTCACTTGCAAGAAGACCGGATACGGAACAATTAGAAGAAAATAATAAATGGCGTTTGATTCCGCCAAAAAGAACGATAACGGTGATCGATGAAGCTTCCGTATAAAAAAAAAAAAATTTAATATTTTATTATAATAATTAATTACGTAATTTAAATAAAAAAACACGAGTTAATTTTTTATAATAATAATAATAAACTAGTTTGCTTTTTTTTTTGTATTTTAAAAACTGACAGAAGTCTGATTCTGTAAAATTATTTTAACGGACTTTTTTCTACAAAAAAAAAAAAAAATGTGGTCTTACTTTATTTATATATATATATATATAATTAATTAATGCCCATAAAAATTTATCGTAATGATAATAATAATAATAATAATTAATTAATTTTTTTTACGTATTATTTATATAGATCGGCAATAATATTAATTTTATGTAAATTTTAGCTTAGTTACAGCAATAAATTGACTGAATGAAGTGTAAAGCTTTAAATATGTTGTCGGAATGAAAAAATAAAATTTTAGAATATTTTTCGCGCCTAAAAAAGCAGATGAATTTTTAATTTTAAAAAAAAAAACTTAAAAAAAAAGCAAAAAAAAAATTTTTATATAAATTTTAACAAAAAAAAAAATGCCAAAAAATTAAAATACATAAAATTTTTAATTTATATATTAATAATAATAGTAATTTTTATATGAAATCATTCTATGGCGTTAATTAATAAACGCTACGATAATAATAATAATAATTATTATTATTTTTTATTTGTCATAAAATTTTAATTTAATTTAAAAAAAAAAAAATTAATTAAAATATAAGGCCGTCCGCGCGTGTATTTTTTTTTATATAAAAAAACAAAATTTATTTTATTTATTTTTTTATTAATTAATTATTTAAAAAAAAAAGGAAATAAAATTTTTAATAAAACACACGCAACGCGATGGGATTTCCGGTTTTTAAAAAAATTTATTTTTATTGCTCAAATTTTTTTTTTTTAATAAATGATGAAAATTATTTTTTAAAAAAACGACAGCTATTTATTTATAATTATAGGAAAATGCGTAAGAAAATGGTATTATTTATGCGTTGTTTGTATTGTGCGTACATCGAATTTTTTATTTTTTAATAATATATATTTATTTAAATAAATAAAATATTTTTTATTTATTATATAACGCGGTCATTAATTGTAATTTTTTATTAAAAGGTAATAGAATAAATTGTTTTTTTTTTTTTTTAAATTTTTGTATTTAAACAGATAAAAATATTAAGAAATCCCGTTGGTAATAAAAAAAAAAAAAAAGAAAACATGTAAAACTCTAGAGAAAAGAAGGTAAACAACAAATAGTGGTGGTGGTGGTGGTCGCGGTGGTGGCGGTTATAGTGCAATGATGATGATGATGATGGGAATAAGTAGAAGAAGAAAATGTTCATTTTCCATGCTCCATGACTTGCGCGTTAATGGTAACGGTTATACCATTGTCAAAGGGAATCTAGCATATATTGATCGTATAGTGCAGTGTTGGGTTCGGGAAGGTGAAACAAAATAGAGCAGTTGACCCGACCCGTTGTTGGGAATCATGGGCAACTCGTATTCAGAAATTACAAGGGATGGGGCCGGCGACTAGCCGCGAGGACGAAGCGGCAGCGGATACCGGCCTGGCGCTGGCCGCCGGCACCGCACCCGATCTCGACACAGTAAGTAATTTTTTTTTTTTTTTTTTTTTTTATTACTCATCATCCATAATTAATTTTTTTAATAATAATATTACGTAATGAATCAAAAAAAATTCAAATTTCTTCCCGTGAAAATAAAAATTTCAACGTTTTTTTTTTATGTTCACCATTTTGTTGTTGAATCGATTGTTGTAAAATTTTTAAAAAATTATTTTCTCTTATGTTACCTATTATTACTAACCACTTAGTCTCTTTTATTACTCTTTGTCATTATTATTATTAATATTTTACCCACTTGATACTTATTAATCAAAATAAATACATAAATACTTTTTTTTTTGGATCTGATAACTTTTCATTAATAAGAAATTACAATCAAATTATTAAAATGGATGAAATTTTTTTTTTTTTTTGTTTGGTATTTAAAATAAATTTGTTGAAAAGTTTGTTTAATAATAATAATAATAATTAATCATTGTAAAAATTTATATTTTTTAAATTTAAATTAACACAAAAATTTTTAATTACATGTGACATTTTACATGTGAAGGAAAAAGATAAATAATAATAATTAACTTTTTTTTTCTAAATTGTCGATATTCACTACCAAAAAAAAATAAAATCTTTTTTTTATATTTTTTATAAAAGTGAAATATTTTTTTATCATACATTATATAAGAATATTTTTTTTTTTTTCTTGAATTCAAATTAATTATTATGGAGAAAAAAAAAAAAAATTAATGAAATATAATTTTTTTTTCTTTCTTTTAAACATTAATAAAAAAAAAAAGAAAAAGAAAAAATGTATAAAAGTAAATTGCTCAAAGGTTCCCTTTAATTTATCATCTAATGAAATCAAATAAGAAAGAAAAAAAAAAAAATTATAAGTTAAACTTAATAATATGAGCATAATAAAAAATATTATTATTATTCATTGTCGACTTAAATTTATCAAAAAGAAAAAAATTATTTTTTTTCCCCCCCTTTTCGAAAAGAAAAATAAATATGTATCATGTACATTTTAATTTGATTACTGTTTTTTTTTGAGAAAATTGTAATATTAAAATTATATAACTTCAAATAAAAAATGAATGTTGATTGTTGATAATAATAATAATAATATTCTTTTTTTTCAAACGACTTGTTTATATAATTTTAATAAAAACATTAAGTTATCATTTTAAAGTTGTCGAAAGGTTTAACTAAATTATAATAAACAAAGATTTTCTTATTATTTATTTATGTAATGATTTAAAAATAATATTGTCTCAGAAAAAACAATTGTACTATTATTATTATTATTATGTAATTTTGCAAACTTAACCTCAAATGTTTATTAAGGCAGTTTTTTTATTTTGTTTAAATACAAAAATTTAATGAAGGGCTCATGTTAGTCATGTGTTGTTAATTACCACCTTAATTAAATTAAACAAATAATTTAAATAGATAAAAAACTAAAAATCTTTAATGATAATAAATAAAAAATGACTTACAGAATAAAAAATTGAGAGATGGAATTAACGGCTAAAAACTGACAAGCAGGTTTGCCAACAGAAATTTATTTAAATTTATACGTTTAGGTTTATTTAAAGTATAAATCAACATATAATCTGTTAATTATTTAATGAAAATGATTTTTTTTTTTACTAAAATTGGAAAAAAAATTTTATAATAATTTCTAAATTTGATATATAATAATGTAAGAAATTAAACTTTTGGCAAAACTTTTTTTTTTTTAAATAGAGTAAAAATGCAGGCATATTGTTTAATAAATTTGACTAATCAAATATGCTGCCATCTTTTAATATGTTGTCGAACTAATAAAATAAAAATCTACGTTCATGTTCATGTTGAGCCAACCATTCTGGGCAACATGATCAGTGGTGGTATCAAAGCAGCCAACACATGAATAATGTGTAATTGAATATTTTTCAGTCGGCCATCTCATCTTAATGAATTGATATGAATTGTGGCGTTAGTTTAAATAATGATGATGAAGATCGGGACGCGTGTGATGATTCTTCTCAATGAAAAAAAAAATGGGGGTTGTGTAGGGTCTGAGTGAATTTGCGATCAGCTGTTTTTCTATCAGCTGGTCTGATTAGAACAACTTTTTTTTTTTTCTCTTTTTTTTTGTAAAACATACTGCTGATTGCTTTTTTAATCTCTTTTTTCGAATAATTGTACATTTTAAAAGTTTTTTTTAACGTTTCCTTCGAGTTTTCGGTTAAAATTATATATTTATAAAAAAAAAAACAAGTGGACGAGCTTAAAACCAAAGATGTCTAAAACTCAACTCAAACCTACTGCGCCTACTGGCCGAAGAATTCGAAAAATTAGCAGAGTAAGTGTTTATACCCATAGCATCATTTTTTTCAATCATTTCTATGAAAATTCGATCGCCATTACAATATGTTTTCAGACGCTCTCATATATTACTATTAATATTTTTTTAATCTTTTTTATTAATTTTTAAACTCTTTTTGAATATGTGGTGAGATTTAATTATGTTTTATAATTAATAAGTCATTTCTCTTAATGATATTTATACTTAAATCCTTTAATTTTTAATTGTTGTTTGAGGCTAAGATTTCATTTACAGATTTTTACAAAAAAAAGTTTACAAATTTTTCATAAAATCTTTTTTTTATACATTTAATAATTAATTTCTTTTCGTTTAGTATGCTTACTAACATCATCATCATCATCACATTACATTACATATTTAGTGTTAAAAATTTAAATTTTTCAAATTATTATTCTCTCGATTGTAAAAAATTCAATGTGATGTGGTAAAAATAAAGAAATGTATCCTTGAACGATAAAAAATTTTACAGTTTATTGTAAATTTATTTGTTAAAGAAGAAAAATTATTTTAGAAATTCTATCGCACAAACTTTTGTTTTAATTAATTCACCACATTGCCATTAAAACACATACACAACTCCAAAAAAAATTTTTAATTAATTAATTTAATTAAAAATATAAAATTAAATGGTTGACGATATGTGCACATGAATTTAAAAATATCTCAAACGATAAACAATTTTCATTATTACTACAAACACTTCCTGTATATTATTCATTTGTTAATCTTTATAAATTTACCATATTTAAAACACATGTACATAAAATTTAACTTATTTTTTTACAATGAAAATCAATATAATAGTAATGATGATGATGATATTAAGAAGAAATTAATTATTATTATTATGTAGAAAGGAAATTATTTGTCGATGAAGTTTGTTTGGTTGCATGTGACACAAAACATGATTATTATTAAAAATATTTTACTGTCATTAAAATAATTTATTTTTAAGCATCATTTGTTTGAAAATTGTATTGTTTGAGAGAATAATTGAAAAATTTAATAACTTTTTCAAAAAAAAAAATTTATTTTTAATTTATATATATATATAATTATTT